TTATTATTATTATTATTATTATTATTATTATTATTATTATTATTATTATTATTATTATTATTATTATTATTATTATTATTATTATTATTATTATTATTATTATTATTATTATTATTATTATTATTATTATTATTATTATTATTATTATTATTATTATTATTATTATTATTATTATTATTATTATTATTATTATTATTATTAATTATCATTATAGGAATAATAATGGTGTTATCGATAACAATAACAACAACAATAAAACTCACCACATCAAATGTTATTACGAAAAAATGGATAAAGAGAGGATGATAAAACTGGTAGTGTAAAAAAAAAAAAACGGATACAGTGATGTGAGACTGATAACAAAACGATATCCACTTATCACATTTCATCTTACACCATCAACAGATATACTTTTATTACTTAAATATACCTTTATTGTATTTTCTCTTTCTTTAATTCTTTTTCGACATTTTCAACGAAGCATTCACCAAATCTAATCCGTGTTTTCCGATTAAAATGCCTACAACTTCCTTTTTTTTCTTATTCATTTATTATTTTCCTTTCTCTTTCTCTTTCTTTTTTTTTTTGTTTTTCTTCTATACCTTTCCTTCTTCCAAAAAAAAAAAAGGTGAAGGAAAGGAAAATGTTAATTTTGTTCCAATATTCTCTATGTAATAAAATCTTTGTTTTCTTAACAAATTCTCTTCACAACAACAACAATCATTTTTCAACAAAAATTTTTTACCACTATTGTTATCATCATTGCCATTATTATTATCATTAGCTTAATCTTTTGTTTATGCATAGAGTAGTTATGCATAGAGTAGTGGACATCATCAAATCCCCATAACAAATCGTTCTTTGTTAATGGAGCAAATTTAAATGAATGATCAAAATAGTAACTTGTCATTGTCAATCATTTTAGATTTATACTGGTTTTCTAATCATTATTAACCAGATGTACAAGATTAGGAAGCTATATTCCAGGCTATATTAACACTATCGATGTTGACCATCAAAACCAGACGCAACGACGTAAAATGCTCACCGCTGTCTTGCTCACTAAAAACTTTCAATCATTTCTATTAGTGTTTTAGAAATTTTAAACCACAATATCGAAAACTTGGAGTTGTTTCCAATCCATTAAATGGACAACTAAAAAAAGTCTTATGCTAACAGTCATCCTGCCATTCCGTTTAACCTATTTTTGGTTAAGTTTTCCATGTTTAAGCCAATGAGTAAAAAAAATCTTAGATCAACATTAGATCTTTAGAATTAGAAGAGTGAGTTACAAAAGGGAACGGATTCTTCGAAATGCTGGAACAGTGGATTTCTTATCTCAAATGACAGAAGCAATAGCACCATTTGTCAAATTGAATCAGGTTTGATCGATATTTAGCAAGAAATGATATAAATAGTAGTCAATAAGTTTACTGACGAGCAAATTTTCTTATTGGAATATATCATGAATAGAAAGGGATTATTAGTCGTAGTAGTACCTGATCAAAGAAATTGAAGTACTTCGCTCTCTTTCACGATAATTTGATAATGGTTAATATAGTTCTTTCTTTCTTTGCTCCTTTGCCCTAGTTCACAGTAATGGCATCAAAGAACAGAAAAAAAATTTCCAAATTTACTCAACAATAATGTTTCATACAGTTAATAACGAGCTGCAGGAAAATTTCAAAAATGTATGTGATAAGACAGAAAAACTTCGAAAAATGTGTAACATGTTGAACCGGATCAATTATCGATATTAATGTCTTCCACGTTGGCACTACCACCGAATTTGTACTCTTCATAGATCTGTTCGTATAATGCACCGCACGCAACAACTGCCTTCAGCTTGGATGCTAACAAAAATGATCCAGAAAGCTTTCGATGTAGTGAGTAGATTTCATCGGGCGGTGATATTAGTCGGTGTTTTAACATCACCGGAATTAATGCGTGAATTCTTCTCGTTACATTCTGAAGCATCATAATTTTTTTTTCGTGGGAGGAGGTGACATGAGAAATTTCAGAGATTCAGTGAGAGCTTAACAACCAAGCATACCGCAATAAATTAATAAATTTCAATTTCTCTGAAAATCCGGATAATTGCAGATACGAAACGACATGTGTAATTATATCCCGAATACGTTGTGACAAAATCAGGATTAATAAGAACAAACAGACTTCCAAACTGTTTTTATTTTTAAAGAGCTAAACCTGTTTTGAGAAATCATATGGAGCTGTGGATGCTAACGTTTCACCCAGAATACTGATTGACTCACAATGAGCATCCTCCATTACCTGCAGCAGTATTTTAACAGTAGAGCACAGATTTTTGGAACATCTATAAGTTATTGCAACAATAATTTATTCACAACGCAAAGATACATAAATTCAGCACTAGAGAATTACCTTTGATTCATATCCTGACAGGAAACCAATTTTCCTTGAATAATCCAGCATCTGCAAATGAAGTAATCCATGCAACATCACTTTTAAATATATCGAAAATTCAGTAAACCAGAATATTGCAAATCAAAGTTTGGGTCAGAGGCCAAATGGTGTTATAAGGAAACGTTTACTTTATCCTTGTCGTTGTCATAAGCAGCACGGATAATGTTCATATATTGGTCAACAAACTTCTTGGGATACGAACGTGAAGCTCCGAAATCCAGAAGAATTAATCTTGGGACATTTGCAGTTGGATGTTTGCCGAGATAGAAATTAGACCAGTTTGGATCGGTCTGAAGGATATCAATTAGTAAATTATGTTTCCCAAGTTTTAAATGTTGAAAATGCCGAATAGCTGAAAATACTTATAAAACCTCAATTCATACTATTAAATATACAAGGATTTGTATTTTAAAAGGGAAATTTATTTTTTCGTTTAAAAATTTTGTGGCATAAAATTTTAATTTTAAACAATAAAAATGGAAAGAATGTAAACTGCAATATAAATATAAATAAATAAATATATGTATATATATATATATATATGTATATATGTATGTATATATATGTATGTATATATGTATATATATATATACATATATATATATATACAT